GGTTCTAATGACTTGGAGATTACCAACAGAATTCCAATGAGTGGCCTATCAAGAAAGGTCAAAAAAACTTTTTTGGTTTATCCAAACTAAATACATGGACATGTATGATTGGTTAAAACTCTTAATTATATGTAATAAGAACATAATGATATGATTCAGAAAACATGATAATTCATTAGAAACACAAATAAATCAAATAATTTTCTTATTTGAAACTAAAAAAAAAGGAAATCCATCTTTAAGATGAAGAAACATATTTCTTATAAGGAATCATTTACTAAGTTCATAAATGCAGAAGGTATATGATTGAAGACATTTATATTTTGCAGTCAAGTGACTTATGCAATTTGAGCTATCCATATACAGATATCCCCTTATATTATATTAACTTGTAAAGGACATATATTTAGATTTTACAGATATGTGTCATTAACATTTGTTAAATTTGCTTAAGTGCTTAGATATCTGCACGATTTACTTTGTGTTCTAATGAGCTGTCTACCGTAACATTATGATGTTATCCTGTCTTAAGCTTGCGTCAAGTCCAGTCTTGTTTTAACGACTCATCAATTATTCAAATTTAGTTTGCCATAACTAGATAGTCAGTCTTTTGCTGTTCAAAAATGATTATATTAGCTGATCTTGATAGTGATCTGTTAAATAGATCCATGCAGTCATATTCCAATCTATAAAAGATTCACATATTTTTATCTATACACAGGGGTAGACTTTAGATTTCAAAGTTAAAGAGATTGTAAAGAGGTTTTCTATATTTTGAGGACACTAATAGCATCAATTTGCACTATTCCAATTTTCAATCAGACATCTGTAGTTCCTGCAATTACACTACAACTAAGTGTACTAAGATGACAACTCTAATAGCAAAGGGCCTTATATGATTAGCATTTTGTGATTAGTGACATCATCAAACACTTAGTTTGAGTAGAATTGTAGGAACGACAGACATCCTATTGAATATTGGAATTGTGCTAATTGATGCTATCAGTGTCCCTGAAAATTTTGAAAACCTCTTTACAATACTTTTAATACTTTTTCAAACTAGATAATTTATGCTGTGCAATGTGATAATCAATTTATCATATATATACAATGATTGATTCCACATTATACTCAGTTTGTAGGAGTTGTTTTCTATGATATCAGATCTAGGTTAAAAGCTTTGTATAACACAAAAAAATCGATTGAAAACTATTTATATTCTGCATTGAATATCATTTAGTCACCAATAAACAGCTTTAAATGGTGACAAATTCTGACTGACCTTTTGAGTAATTGAATAACATTCTCATATGTCAGAATATTTAACTAAGTAAGTCTTTGTAAACAGTTCAATAATGTATGTAATCACTTCATTTGAAGCCACTAAGTTTGATGATGAAATGATATTCACAATCGTGTCCAATATATGATTGCTAAATCATTGATTGTCTATAAAGGGACTTCATCAATCTTACAATCAAAATAAACCAAATATTTAACTGACTAGTTCTTTCTAGCATGTATTTTGAGAAATGATTCAAATGAAATAGTTAATGCTTTACTTTTTTATTTAATTTTTTGCTTGGAAATTTTTGTCTTGTATTTAAATGCCTTACCAGATGTATATTCTACATCAAAAGACTATTTTAACAGTGAAGTTAAAGGGACAGGTTTGCCATCAAATAGGAGAAGAATATGTTAATAAACCATATACTGAAAATAGCTTATTCGAGAAGGCTTTTAAATAAACAGAAACAATTAACAATTTTATTCAATGATGCTATGGTTAAAAGTGATATTGGACAATAAGATGATATGTTAAGTTATTTTGATTAAAGGCAAGATAAAGTTAAGACCAATGTCAATTTCCAACAACCAGAACTTCAGAAATGTTGTATGTTTTTGGTACAGGGGAAGTAATATATTTATAACACATGTGGATATGGCAAAAATTCACCCAAGATCACTTTTTGCTTTCAAATTGACTTCTAAAAAATCCTTAGTTTATAACCTTAGTATGGCTCTTTAAGTTATTATTTAATATAAACTTACTGATAAGTTATTCATGATATATTAAAGTAATTGCGTTTGATTATCACCATGTATTTAGATTCTCATTATTATTACATTAATTGATCTGTTAGATATTAATATGAATTATATTATTGCTGACATCATTCATTTATTGTTATACACCCACATCTCTGTTCTTCCATTTCTATTTTTTTTTTTTTCAGATTAAATATTGATGTTCCTTAATTGCAATTTTAAGTTTGTAGGTTCAATCAAAAGGATATAAAAAATGGCTGGAAACAAGATGTGCAGATTCAGGGGTTATGATTTATGTTAAGGAATGTTTTATTACATTTTAGATACAGATTCAGATGATAATAAATCAATCCGATCCAATCGATCTATCATATCCAATAGATCCATCAAATCCATCAAATCCAATCACTCCAGTAAGGCCCCTAAAGAAACAGATAAGTACAGAGGTCTTGTGACTATTTGCAAGTTATCCCTGTTTCGACTGTTAGATGTAGCCTTATTTTATGCCCATATCACGTAGTTGTAGTATACTCAGGCTTGCTATTTTAGTTTTTTCACATTATTTCAGTGATTTGATTTCAACCTATTTAGTTATTTTTGATTTTAGTTAAGGTTTTATATCAATTCTTAAAACTTGCATCAAAGTCTTTTCACAAATGACACTTTAGGTATTTGATGAAAAAAATTTAAATTGAGAAGATTGATATAAGTAATTAAGAAATGATTTTTATAGCTTACATCTTTTTTCTATGTGAATGTAAAATGTCAGTACCAAAGTCCATCAGTAAAAAATATAGTCTCAATCTTATTAAAATGCCTTGGATGCAAATTGGTAAAAGCTTTTGTGCATGATCTAATTCTAAAGTGAATCAACTTTCTTTTCCTTACTTCCCTTGAAAATCTTGAAAATACTACCGTTTCTCCATATATAAACAAATTTTCTCAAATATTGGTAAATTTTTTTTTTTGGTGTTTTCTTTGTTTTCTAGCTAAATTGGGTGTATATGTCCATGGTTCAATAATGCTTCTATCATTCAGGTGGTATGCATTTTAAGGATGAATGTATTATCTTTTCTTGAAAAAAAAAATATATATAAAGCAGAATACTTAGATTTACTAAGGAATACTATTTCCTGCTTGTGATCTGCTAATAAAAACAGTTTGTTTATCTTTCAAAAAATATTTAGAAACAGTTTTTTTCATTCTTAACCATTTTGGCAAAGTCACAACTACAAAGTTGAATTGAAAACTTCAAAGACAACAATTTTGTTATGGCAGATATATTCATATTAATATGTTTGAATGTTTTATTATAATTTAATGTCTGATAAGTGTTGTATAGATATTGTGCTCTGTATATTCTGCATTGTTGTAATGTGTTTTCATTTGAATGATAACTTGCATGACTTACTAGATTTGGGATAAATTTTGGTGAATATTTTTTAATAACTTAATGCAGTCTGATATTCAGACTACAGACCATAGCACTTGTACTATGCTCATGTCTTTATATGAATTTCTTGATATCGAAAGACTACATGAGTCGGTTTCTGTATTTGACCCTTGAACCCCCGGACTGATACTGAAGACTATTAACCTCGTGTTTTGGCAGCTATTACATTTTGGTAATTGGATAGATAAAGAAAGATTTCGCACATAGAAACAATCATTTATTTTTGAAACGAACTCATCTAAAAAATAAAGATTGAGAGTAACTGAGAAATGGATCAAGGTTCAGACATTGAAACTGACTCATACACCCTTGAGATTCATATGAATCTTACATTACAATGATTAAGGTTCTATAAGCCAAACTATGAATTATGTCTCCCTTTTGGTTTGATTTGCAGATAGGATCTTTTAGACTATAAATGAATGATAATTTTGATATGTTATGTACTTTCTGACATGTACCCGTGAGAGACTGTATCAAGTATATATCTGATCCTTCTGTCAGTTCATAAACCATTGTTGAATGCATAAAATACCATATTATTTGATAAGCAATCAATAGTCGGTACTTTCACTGTTAAAAGGTTGATCCGCAATTCTTTGAAACGGGATATCTTTTCTCTTGCATGAGAATATTGCATAAAACTTCTAACAACAAATTAATTTTCACCATGCAATATCGTGTCAAGAAAATAATGTGGAATTGATTTGCACTGAGTCATATAAAGCTAATTACCCATTTCATGATATATTTAATGGATTCCAATACGTCTGTTAAAGGCTTTCTGCATAGCAATGTCTCTTTGGAATATAGTTTTATGATTGAGTGCATCTTGGAGGTTAAAACCAAATGAAAATCAATTGTCTGCGAAATGGAAGAATTGAATTCAAAAGCATCAAAAATTACTTAAAAATCAAATGTCTGGTATGAAAAAGGTTATTTATGATTGTTATTTGAGTTGCCCGACAAAAATCTATCAAGGTTTGGAACTGAGAATAAGTTTATGTTTATCTAAACTAGGTGCTATCAATAATTCAAAAGATTTTTCGATGAATTTCTATTAGAGACAAAACTTAATTGTTTGATAGCATGATGGATTTGAACTCTCCATTTAAACTCCCCATAGACAATTGATAATGCATTTCAACAATAAGCATGTTTATTCATAATGAAAATAATTTAGAGAGTAAAAACAGAAATGTAAATGGCTATATAAAAAGCAGGTTTCAATGTTTCAATTCCAGCTTCAACAACTTGTGTCTTTTATTAGGAAAAAATTCTGGAGCCATCGCATATCTCTTAATGCGGCTGATCAATTGAAATAGGCTTAACATATGAAATCTTGACATGTTTCTGATATTGATACTATCATCAGGACAATAAGTTTTTAAATATAATTGTAAGCTGTTTTATCAACTTTTCACATACAATCAGGGGTAACAAATTGTATGCTCTATCTTGCAGTGTTTTTTTTCTTGTTTTTACTAGGTAAAATGAGTGATAAAGATTCTGGAGCTGAATTAGCCGTAGAAGATGAGAAGCTAGCTGAATTAGCTAAGCCTAGATTAGGAGATATTGTTAAGATTACTGTCAACATAAAAGAAAGTGTAGAATTCAAGGTAAGTAGCCTGAAAATGCTAGAAGCTACTCAAATAAATTTGGCCTGAACTGTCAGCTTTGATACCATTCATTATATTGTAATCATGGGCTGAATGCTAGATAGGACCATGTCACCTTGGCGTATTGGACCTTTTTCTGACCCATGTAAAAAAAAAATCAGTACTTATAATACTAATCTCATGATTTTTACCATTGTGGTAGTGGCTTACTCTTTTCGAAACACCTGATGGTATTTCTCTTTGGAGAATTCCACTACTACACAACTTCTACTCTCGATGCTTTGGACGAGATTTTCATTAATGGAATTGTCTTGCTTGAACGGATTTTTGGGGAGTGATTTGGGTCTTTAATGTGTTGTAATAGTCTTAAGAAGTACTAAAACGCGCTAAAATCGCATAATCCCTTCAAATATACCTCAAACTAGAAATTTCACTATAATATATGTGTTTTCTATAGATGGCATAAGCATAGTCTCACTAAAATTGGAGTCCAATTTTTATCTTTCAAACGTGAATAATTATGGATACACATGGATTTGAAGGCTCAAATTTGGACGATGAGCTGTGAACACAAGTACTGATTATGTAAGCTAAAAAAATTCATGTTTCTGAAACTAAAGTATGATTGGTCGAACGGATAGTGGAGGTGCTCCTTTAAGCCATGGTTTAATGTCCATTTGTCATAGCTAATCGGTGCTTTACCAACTGGTTTATTATAAACCACGATTCTCTGTTAACTATTTCAACCTAATCACGATATTGACAAACCAAGTTTTCAAAATGTGCAAGATGGCCATTGCAAGCCTGTGATGTCGTACAATGATCAATTTAATCAAGGGTTACCCATCATTAATTAGGACTCATTTTAACAAATCCATAGCTAAATGATATGATGACTTTTCATTTTGAATGTCAAATGTGAAAATATCCATTAACATTAGAAAACTCAACAGAAAATTCAATGACACCATTACAAGTCATTGTAAGTGATAGTTAAATTGCATGCTAAATGAAATATATGGGCAATTAATATCATATTTGTTCTTTAGAGATCATATTGATTTTACATCATCACTACATCATATAATGCCTTACATTGTGCAGTTTGTAAAAAGATAAAATTGATTTGACAATTTGGAATATACACCTGTTAACTGAAGAGCAAAATCATTTATTTGCTTTTCTAATGTCAGACTTAATATTCTATGCCTATTCTTTTGAATTTCAAATGCTCAAATATGGTACCACCCTTTATGCAAAAAAAGTTGTTGAGGTTTGTCTTGTTCTTTTCTCAGAAGTGGGAGATGCTAGTGGTCTAGTAAACAGCTTTTTTTATTTAAACAGACACCTGGCTTTGTCTACCACATCTTATGGTGTGGACACGCGAATGGTCTTGGTCTGAAATTTTTGTCGCCGATTAGAACCTTGTCTTTTCTTAAGACTCTGTCATAGAAATAGAAAGTGAAGGGATTATGTGATTTTCATATGATACAATATACTCCAGCTCCTGAAATGGCGAACCATAATCTAGTGTAGCTGTAATGTCTACTTCACTGAATTTGTTACTGTCAGACATGAACTTTTGCAGTTTGCATAAGAACATTTTGGTTTGTTCCTATTATTATACAAATTTTTTAACATGTTGGGTATTTGTCCCATGATGTTATCAAGAGTAATATTCATATCAAGGAAAGGGATACAAATCTGATTCGAGTGAATTACATCTGCTATGCATCATCTGAGTTTTTTTTGTGAACATAACTGTAATACAAGTACTCCCAAAAGACATATGTCAGCATATTTTTCATGTTGATGATTTAAAACCAGTAAATGAAGCAATAGGTACATGAACAGTTAATTAAGGTTTCTATATATATATTAGAATTATTTATAAAGGTATTGATCTTCATTTACTGTCAATTTATTTGTTGTTACTATTAATTATGTTTACTAACAGTATTGATTTGATTATGGTCACAATTGTGTCTTGTAAGCATTATAGAAGCTACCTCTTAATTGCAATTCTGATGAAATTTTACATGGACATGATAAAATCCATTTGTGATAATGACTGACTTTGATGACTTTGACAAATTGAACTTTAATGATTGACTTTGACAAATTGAACTTTAATGATTGACTTTGTCAACTCTAAATTCAATCATTGATTTTGATAGGTGAAAGTTAATAATTGTTTTTTAAAAGGTTGAAGTTAATAATTGGCTTTGACAAGTTCAAAGTTAATGATTGACCTTGTAAGTTTTAAGTTAATGATTGACATTGACAAGCTTAAAGTTAATGATTGACATTGACATGTTAAAGTTGATGTTTGACTTTGACAAGTTTAAAGTTAATGACAAGTTTAAAGTCAATGATTGGCCTTGACATGGTTAAAGTTAAAGATTGACCTTGACATGGTTAAAGTTAATGATTGACTTTGACAACGTTGATTTAATGATTGACCTTGACATGGTTAAAGTTAATGATAGACTTTGACAAGGTTAAAGTTGATGTTTGACTTTGACAAGTTTAATTTCATGATTGACCTTGACATGGTTTAAGTTGATGTTTGACTTTGACAAGTTTAAAGTTAATGATTGACCTTGACATGGTTAAAGTTAATGATTGACTTTGACAAGTTTAATTTAATGATTGAACTTGACAAGTTTAATTTAATGATCTGTTAGCCAAAGGAATTGCTATTTCATAACTTCTGCCTTGAGCTTATGTTACCTTGCCTGGCAAGCTATCTTGTTCTCATGCTATGGTCAGCTATTTTGTCCACAAGCTCTAAATACTGAGGGAATAGATAATGTGAAAAATTCAATTCTCTGAAAAATAATTAGGAAATCTACCCATTTGACTGTTATGATAAATTTCTCCATTGAAACCTCTTCAAATTAAAGTTAAAAATTTCATTAATTCGATTTTATCATTCATATCAATTTTTTTCTTTCGTAATTTTAACTTACATTGTCAAGTAGAGAAGTAGAAAAACCTCTTGACTGTGATAAGACATAAGACAAAAAAAATATTGAACTTTCAATAAATATCTTATGTATGTTGTATGTACAAGTTTGTCATTTAAAGGAATACTACCTCTTAGAATAGAATGGTGCAGAAAAGTAGGACGTAAAACTCCATTCATTTCATTTCTTAGAATGGACATAACTTTAAACTTGGTCAACAAGTGTATATATTCCTCAATCGGACTTACCAGATGCCATGACTTTAGAATAGAATCTCTCTATAAGACGATATATCTATTAAGCTGAATAGTGCATGTTTCAAAATTACTTAGTTTTATGAATGATTACTTAGTTTAATAGATTATTACTTAGTTTATGGATTTATTGGATTATAGTGTGATATAGTTTTGACACCAGGTTATATTTGTTTTGTTTTGTTTGAACTTTTTGAAAAATTTCAGAAATTTAAAATCGTGGACAAATAATAGACAATATTATTGTCTCCATTAACCTTCTCAAAAGATACTTTGTGTTGACAAACCCAATTGCAAAATATCATCAGGTCTTGATTTCATGATTTTCAAACTGACAATTTATTTTGAATCTATTTCAGAGTGTTGTAGATAAGCTGTTAAAGAAAGCCAATGTATCATTAGTGGTAGGAACATCATCATGGAGAGAACAATTTGTACAAGCTATCACTGTTAGTGCAGGTAAGTCATGGGAGAAAAGAGGGAGGGGGGACAACTGGGGTTATGAGATTCTCTAGCGATCTCTATTTTCGGGTGAAAGTTTGGTAAACTTGAATTAGACATCTTTACTCACAATTCCAGTCGACCAAGTTGTAGATGGGTACGGATAATCCGGAAAAGATCAATGCCGAGAGGTTTGGCCAAGGACCAACTGTTAGAAATGATCCTTAAATTTTGTGAACCTTTGTTATCCTTGTAAAATATAGTTGTTTCTTTCTTTTCTTTAAAACTTGACAAATTTCATTTAAGTCAGACCAAAGTATGATAATAATAATAATGACTTTATTTGGCAACCCATTTAGACAGAAATCTAATTTTCATTAGGTCCCACTAAACTACAAATTATATACAAGATTACAGAAAGAATAAAAATACAGAAAATACAGAAAATAACATAAAACATATAAACATTTACAAGGTAACATGAATGAGGAAAGAAATATGAAAATGTAACCACTATGTTTCCCCAAAATGAATTCAGAACCCATTTAAATTTTCTGGTTTGTAGGACACCACCTATCTACATTCAAATAGGGCACAGAAATAGTGCAATAATCTATGATAGGTGTCCTTGATACACATAAATAGACCGGAAAACCTTTTGTTAAGCACTTTAATTTGCACTCAAGGCATCAGAAATATTAACTAGTCTGTGGTGTCACACCACGTTAGACATTGAAGATCCAAGTAGTAAGCCAAATATTTATAGTAAGGTACTTTAATAATTTCATGCCTTTCTGATCTTAATAAGATCTGTGGAAAACCTATTCTCATTGGTACATGTGTGTCATTACAAATAAGTTTTCAATCAGAAACTCAGCTTGATATGAAAACAGGATAAAGAAAATCAATGGGTGAAACTAATAATGACTGATGTTGACATCTTCTCTGTGAGATTAATATTAGTATTTCTTCGTGGGGTTCCTGTTTTTCTCATGTAGTAACACTATTTGGTGAATGTGGTAGCTGATCATTAGCACTATTATATTATATTAATCTATTACATACTACAGGGATCCCAGACTATCTCTATTCAGAGGAATTCCTCTATTTTTCTGGCTAGTGTCATCTTTTTATTTTGAAATATAACCTCTTAAAAAGTGGATTTGTGGGATATGAAATGATTTCTGTAAGAAAATGACATCCAAAGCATCTTAGTTGGTAAAATCTCCCCCTTGCACCCCCACAGCAGAGAATCTGTGGCCACCTTGATCCTCATCTGATCTTTTTCCATTTCCTCTTTTTTCATGTTACATACTGGGATCCCTGATGCTAGTACCATACAACATTTTTTTGACGTGCATAATGGGATCAAATTTGACATTTACAAAGTATGACATTTTTGATTATTTTAATTAAAATTGAAAAATCTTAAAGGGTCATTCTGGTTTTTTCATAGTTCTGAAATTTTTTGGCTAAAATTCATGAAACTATAACCAAAAGAGAAGTGAGTCCCTAAAGGTTTTAACTTAAAAATATAGTGTTACCTTTTTAATGCCAAAACCATTTTATACGTTTCCGTAAACTTATAAAGTTTGTTATTGTTTTGGGAGGTATTAGAAAACTAATATGTGCAGATATGAGCAAATTAAACGCTTAATTGTAGAGAAATATGTCCCCAACGTATTCAAATGGTTTCAACTAAAAATATCAAGTTATTATGAGACCCAACATTCAAAACTAGTTTAAACTGCTTTCTTTACATTAGTACACTGACATTTGTATAATAGTAACCCTATTAAAACAAAATTCAGCTTGATCATGTAAATACATAGATATAAATAGCATATTTCTGAATTATCTTCAGGTATAACTTACAACATTTTTGAAAATGAAAATTTTGCATAGTTCCCCTTTTGACTTATGTACAGAATATTTAGATATAACATATACAAATTGTTTTTGTAAATTAAATCCCGGATCAATTTCTGTATTCCCTGACCCATATTCCACATTAAAGTCACATAATCCAGCAATAAAAAAGAGGTGTATTGTTAACAGGTTCTCCATTAGTAGATTAATTTGATTACTTACAGAATATTATTAACATAACCTTGTACAGTTATCAATTTAGCCATTAATTGAATGGAACTATTGTATATATATGTCTCACCAGAAAGTAAAATAACAGACAAATGATTCAAGGGAAAAAACTCTTCTTGCTCTTTCTATGGATTTCTAATGTTTCAAACAGCAAGACTGAGACCATTAATTCCTTTGCCATCTGTTTCCATGTTTAATTTTGAAATTCAGTCTTCTGTAACTTTTTCCGGAAATTTTGTTGAAAACTTTCCAATATGTCACATGAAAGCCTGGCTAATACTTGACAAAAATTCAATATGACCATGAACATCTTGAACTAGCTAAACTGAAAGTAGACCACTACATTTTATCAACATCCGCTTGACTCTCACTGCACACAACACAACTATTTTTATAATCACACATGAAAATCTCTCATCGTCTCGCAAAATCCGAAATAAAATGCAATTTCAGATATCAAATTCCAAATCTAGACCAAAAATTAGTAAAAAGTAGGCATGAAAAAACCCCATAAGGGAGAAAGATAATGTCTTAAAATGGCACAGACTATATTCGTATAAAATCATTTGCATAATATGTTTCAGTGGAGTGAGTCCTTCTATGGATTTCTACTATTTCAAACAGCCTTTCTCGCAATTGTGAGATCTTATCACTGTCATGGTATTTAGGTATATGATCAGTCGCCTGTAATACTCTATGCCAACACAGTAGCTTTGTCAATCTTTTCAAAAAGAAACTCAAATCAATTTAAACAGTCAACTCAATACTATGCATTTAGCATGTCTTCATCTTTCTATTGCATTCACAAGCAAATGTTGATATAAAATCAGATCAAACCTGTAGTATCCATCTCATTTAAGAAATAATTTTGATGTACTTTTTCTAGATCAAAGGCAATAACTTAAAAACGTTTGTTTAAAATTCATGAAGATCAAACTTCTTCAACATCTCTTCAAAGTATATAATATAAACATTGGACCAAATTTCGTCACAATCTGATCAAAACTGTAATCTCTATCACTTTCATAATCAATTGTGGACAGAAGAATGGGCTGACAACCTGACAATATTTCACATTAAGAGTTTGCTAAATCTGGACACTTTTATGGTATTTCCACTCTGTGAATTTTTGCAGTTTCAACCAATTTCTATGCAAGTTTATGTTAGATTCTTGTCCTACCAACTGTAGTGACTGTATGTGACTGTAGTTATTTCTATTACATTCACAATAAATTGGTATATTTGCAGGTGATGATGATGAGGAAGAAGATTCAGAAGAGAAACTACCATCATGTTTAGATTATGTTATGCACTTTCTAACATTATTCTGGAAGCTTCTATTTGCTTTCATTCCACCCACAGGTAGGTCAAGATTTATATTAGAGTACAGTCAGTCAGAAAATGTATATCATAGGCCTATTTGAAGTGAAGAATACTAGTTTATTAATAGGCAGTATGATCTCATGTCAAGCTGTTATGAACTATGTCTTATACCTTGACTTCATTAGAGATTTTTCTTGTCTCATAGAGGTTTGTAAATGCAGAAATTTGATTGGTTGTATGCTAGCGAATATAACCAATCAGAGCTCTGGACAGACAGTCTGTAAGCTTACACTTGTTGTTAGGGCTTTGATTGGCTTTATTCGCTAGAGTACAATCCAATCAAATCACAGCATTCCATGATACAATACTTTACAGGTCCAAAAACCTTATTTGATTACTGAAAATAGAAGGAACTCTTGTAACAGCTTCTATTACTATCATCAGTGTTAAAGAAATAATTGTAAGTAATGATGTAACAAAACTGTTAAAGCTCTTCCTTTTCTTTTTTTTTTTCAGATATATGGGGAGGTTGGGCATGTTTCTGGTCCTCTATAGCATGTATAGGTCTTTTAACTGCTTTTATTGGTGATTTAGCATCAGGATTTGGTTGTACTGTTGGTTTGAAAGATGCTGTTACTGCCATTTCATTTGTAGCTTTAGGAACTAGTGTTCCAGGTAGGTCTCTTCTTATGACAGACTTACAACTTACATGTTGGATTATTAGAAAATCAGCCTGGTAAATTCAAATGAAGAGTAGAGATTTGGTGCAGCACACCAGTGTGTTATATGTGAAGATGAGTTGGTATTCTACACCTTTCACTTCTAAAGAGTAACAGCTTTTTCTGTTGATTCATAAGATTATGAGGGGGAGCTTTTTTTGCTACGATTTGACTGATCTGCAGTATTTTTAACTTTATTCTAATAATGCCTAATACATATTGCCTCTATTTCAGATACCTTCGCTAGTAAAGTTGCTGCTGTCAATGATCAGTATGCTGATTCATCTATTGGTAATGTGACAGGTAGCAATGCTGTCAATGTATTCTTAGGTATAGGTGTAGCGTGGACAATAGCAGCAGTTTATCATGCAGTCAATGGCAGGGACTTTAAAGTGGATCCAGGAAGTCTGGCATTCTCTGTGACTGTCTTCTGTGTTTTTGCTTTTCTATGTATAATATTGTTAGTTGTGAGGAGAAGTAAATTATGTGGAGGCGGGGAACTTGGAGGACCGACTAAATTTAGAGTCCCAACAGTTATATTATTAGTTTGTTTCTGGTTAACTTACATTCTTCTCTCATCCTTAGTATCTTACTGCTATATCAAGCCTTTTTAGATGGTACAAAATGTGGAGAAGAATAAGGCCCTCTGCCTTCCCTTTGTTCTCATACCACTCAGCTCAGCTGACAAACTTAAAACACACTTAGAGTGAGATATTTTACTCAGGGTATATTTCTGATTGAATTCAGGCCCTGGTGGTGTACCAACTCATGTGAATATAGAAGGAATTGGAATAAGTCTGCATGAAATCCAGCATTAAAGTGTGCATTTCACCTACTGGGGAGATGTGGAGAATTCCTAATTAACAATACTGTAAAAGCTTTGGAGCTCCAGGAGGATAGAATAGCAGGACATTTAATTTATACCACAGCCTTGGTGTTAAAATCTTGAACATTTGATTGTGGTGAATATTGATGATATTACCAAGAAGAACTCAAAAAAGAAAAAGAGTAGGTTATGTGCTGTTAATGAAGTATATAATGCCAATGGAAGAAAATAAACTAATTCATGCAGACAGTTTAGGAAGTGTTGAATATGAACAATGTCATTGATAATGAGAAAGTATCAGAAAGAAGTACAGAACTAAAAAGTGTGAAAAACTAAATGAGTGTCAAAAGGAGTTTAGGTTTTTGTTATGAATTCCCAAGTTTACCATCAATTTTCTGGAATTATTTTCTCCATCCTGATGTTGATGAAAACATCAATATGTGATAAATTTCTTGTTTTTATTCATACAGACTATGGACACACTGGGTAAAGTGATGCTTTTATAAGTCTTAAGAACTTCTTAATCTTATGCCATCAGAGATAAGCTTAGAGAATGGAAAACAAAAATTAAGTAATTGTTAATTTTCTTGACTAAATTAAGACCAAGCCTCATATTTTTAACAATTTCAGCACTAGGACCTAACTTAAGACCTAAAACATCCTTTTGCCAAATTCATTTCAAGAATACAGGACCTGCAGGGGTATTTTTGCTAGTTACTTCAGTTTCAAGCAAAGATGGTACTTGTATATTGATTAAATTCATATTTTGAGATATAGTCTGGACCCATTTGTAACCAAGTGGGGTTCTTTTAAAATTTGCTGAACTTTGATGATGAAATCCATTTTACATCGCTTGAAAAAAAGACAAATGATCTTGAATGGTTGTTCTTAATAGAAATTAGAACACTGAAATAATCTCTAAAAATGAAGAACTTCACTTTGTCAGTGTGTCCACAGTCTGTAACCTTAATCGAATGAATCCATGGTTGTTAAATTTCACTGCTCACTTCCCATAATTCACCCTTTATTTCTTTTCATTGTTGATTTATTTCTCATTCTTTCAAAACCACTTGTATAATACTTAAATGTTGGCTTCAATTTGTATTTAATTTTCTTTCAATTGTTAAAATAAAAGCCAATTATATGTTAAAGACAAGTCAAAAAAATAGATTTGTGTTTTAGTGTTAATGTATTTAGATATCTTCTTGACCCTTTGAATGCCATCAACTTTATGCCATGAAGTAAACTTTTTTGTATTTTGACAATGGTGGCATGTATAGATATTTCATTGTTTTTTATTACTTAATATGACTTATCTTTAATAGATATTATTCAAGCCTCGTTTTTGAGACAATGAAAGCGAGGCTCATAACGCAAATTATGTCATCTATTGGTAAAATGGTGACGTCATATGAATGAACAGCCTATTGATGTCACTGCACACCTGATCAACAGCAAGAAAATGGGCTA